AGAGAGAGAGAACGTTTTGCTGCAACCATCTACGTGTGCTGACTCTTCAACCTCGACGTCCCCCGCGCAGACCCGTATCCCTGCCGTGCCGTGCGGGCGCAGCACCTGGTCTCACACGATGTTTCTTCCCACAGGGGGACAAGGAGGAAGCTACGCTCAGGCTGCAGGTGAGTGTGGATCAGGGATTTGGTCCCTGAGCCCCTGGGACAGTGTAGATGGAGCCCCTGGGGGAGTCACCCCATCAGCCCCTCCTGTGGTCTCCTCTCTCATGGCTCTGACCAGGTTCTGTGTTGTTCTCCCCCAGGCAGCCACAGTGCCCAGGGCTGTGATTCTTCTCTCCGCCCTGAAGGTGAGACCCTGTGTGGGAGGGGCTGGGGCAGGTTATCAGAATTCTTTGAATGAAGCATTTTAACAATGTGGTGGATTATTGAGAATGTCCACACTTACGTGATTCCCTGACTTTGCTCCTGATGATTGTCCTTCACAGTGTGAGGCAGCTGCCCATGGGAGCTGAGTGATGCAAGGTTTCTTGTCATCCCTACATTGTGACTCAAGATCTTTTCTCTGGTTTCCTTTACTGCAGAAGGCATCTGAATAAGTGTTTGCTCCTATTGGTTCATATGTGAGGTGACTGACTATCCTCCAGGACCCCCCCAGCCCTGCTCGAGGCCCCTTCTCCAAACCTGTGCTCTCTTCCTGACGACTGTCCTGCTCCTGCAGAAGCGGCCTAGACTGTGTTCACCCCATCTTTCTGTTTTCCTTAAGAACAATAACTACTTTCTTCTTGAAATAATAATTCAGTTCTGAAATTCGTTTTTCTAAGCCACCCTGTGGATTTGATGGGCTAATAGAAATGATTCCTAAAGTTTGATGTGAAATAAAGGTAGACCTTCCAGAATCACATGTTTGCTGTGCTGTCCTCAGGTGTGGTGGGAGAGTCTGGGGGTGGGCGGGGGGTTTCGGGGCTGTGTCCAGCCCGTGCTCAGGGCATCATGGCAGTAATACTCCTTGTCCTTGTCCCTCATAGCACCTGCCCCAGCAGGGCCTGTGACCACAGGGACTCAGACACCGCCTGGCCTGGTGCTGTCCTGTCTGGGCGGGACTGGTTGGCGGTCAGCCAGGGCACTGCACAGGGTCTCACCTTCGCCTTCAGATTTCTGTGCATTTATATTTTGCTTCTGTGGCTCTTGTTGCTTCATGCCTGTTCTCTTTCATGTACAGAGACCAGGCCTCGTGTCCTCTGCTGTCCTCTATAGCTTCTCACTGCAGCCCGGCCCTTAACTGTAGTGACCCCAGCGCTGGTGCTAATCAAAACCCGTGGGCTGATGGAGTCAGTGACCTTCAGAGTTGGTAAAAACTAGGACCCATACTAGGAACTATGGCCTCCCTGTGGCCTAGGGGTCAAGTCTCAGTGCTACCACCTCTACCCCCAGAGTTAAAACTCAGCCAGGGACTTCCGGAAGTTGGCGGCAGAGTAAAGA